AAAGTTGTTCGAAACATTAAATTATCACTGACCTGATTGGTATTGCTAAAACCAGAGTTTGGTGGGTTTGAACTTGAGATAGAAGAATTAGTGCTCAACTGGAAGGTTGTTTTCACTGCTGTTTCAGTAGCTGAATTTACAACAGCAGGGGGGGAGAAGTTGAAAGCCATTGCGCTGGTTGCCTGTGTACCACTGGTTGAGACAGTTCCAAAAGTAATACTACCGCTTCCACCCACTGATTTACTTTCAGAAGTATTCTTGGCACTTGTATTAATAGCTGGCAATGATGAGGCAGGAGTGAAAGAGAAAGATGTTACAGTAGGTGGGACATTTGAAGAGTTCAGTTCACCACCTGCAAAATAATTTTAAAAATTAGAAAATAAACTATTAGAAGAATAACATTATTTGTCAAAATTACCCAGCAGAGAAACATACCAAATATAGATCCAGATGGGCCACTGAATGTAAATCCTCCAAACGATTTTTTTTCAGATACACTAGTTTGTGATGGTTCTGATGCTTGTAATTGCTTGTAATTGGCAAATGTAATAGAAGAACCACCTGGAGCACTATTGCCAGATGTTACATTCACTTGAGGATGTTGAAGAGGTGTAAAAGAACTGGAACCAGATGAAAATTGAGGTTTCTGGCCAGACATCATAAATGTAACAGGCTTATCTACCGTTGGAGCAGTGCTTTTAAAATTACTCTCTGTTAGAGTAGTAACACTGGGTTGCGATTGCACTGGCAGAAAAGAAAATCCACTTTGAAAGGTGGCAGAGGGAGTCTTGAAAGAATCAGATCCAGAGACAACTGCTGGCGATTGGTTTGAGGAGAGTATAGGCAAGCTTGATGAAGTCTTTTGATTGGAGGAGTCAGATGGAGAGACAATGGCAGTTTTCACATTTGAAGTGTCTTGACCAGACTTCAAAGGCGTAACAGTAAACTGGAACATAGGTTGTGTAAAACTGCTTGTAGATGTAGTTGCTGGTGAATTAGTTTGGGAGTTAACAGCACGTGGGGATGCTTGAGAGTTTGAAGGAGTGAAGTTGAACATTGGTTTGGCTGATGAAGATGAAGCAGTTAGATCTTCCTTTCCAGATGAATTGAATTTGTCACCAGTTGAGGCAGGAGCAGGTGCTGGTGTTGATAAAGGATTTTCCACTGGTGGTGTATTTACTGAGATCAAAGATGAGAGAGGTGATGCTGGAGGTGCAACTGATGAAGTTGGAACTTTGGTCATCATCATTGGACTAGGTTCAGTCTGGAAAAGTAATTCACAATGCATTACATCAAAATCTCAATTAAAAAAATAAACTTCAGGCTGTGTTAGAGGGGAAAAACTTGAAACTTCACAACTTACCATTGCAGCAAAGCCTGAAATGGTGGCTGCTGCTGATGAGGGTACTGCAATCACTGCACAAGAAGATGGAGTGACAGTAGAGGTCACAAGTGAATTACTTTTTTCAATATCTGGGGCCAGGTTCGATATGCTGTTGTTTTTAAGAGTGTCAGAAACTTTGAGGTTGTCTTCAGACTCCTTAACATTACGTATATCTGAATAGAGGAGAAGAACAAGCACCTTATTAGATTATAATAGGAGAAAGCTTTAGATAAGGGCTGCAGGAAAAGAATGTTGAGGTTAAGAATGAGAGTCTACCCTTTGGCTCAAATAAATTAAAACTCTATGATGAGGGCTTAGAAATGTTATTTCAATATTTCTCATTGTATAGAGGCCCGACCATTGAGTATTACTGTATATGAGCCAGTAGGACAATTTTTATTTTCTGCCTCATCATTTCTTAACCCAGCTTGAAGATTGATCACTAAGTGCTTATTTTAAATGACTGGAGATGTAAATTAAATATACCTTGTCCACTCATGCGTGATAGGAGGCTCTGAAACCGCTCTGGGCGATCTAAGTCAGACGAGCTACCCTGTTCAAATAGACACCTTTCGTCAGCATCTGGAGGAACCTGTGACCAAGAACTTCCTTTCTTTTCAGACTGGTTGGCTTTAGGATGTGATCTAGCAACAACATCCTTTCTGAAAAGTTTTGATGTCAAGTCAACTTCTGGTTTGTCAGCCATTTTCTCTGAAATGATGTTTACCCTCTCTATAGCTGGAGTGCTTTTCGGTATAGCACTGACATTGGCTGACTCATTTAGGTTAACGTTTTTCTGGACAACTTTCTTTGTTGTGGTTGATGAAGTATTGGGTGACTTCTTTCGGTTCCGTAAAACCTCCTAAAACACAAAACAAAACAGGGTTAAATAAAGATTTAAGGATAAGTAAAAATGCATAAACAACTTGAAGTAATAAGTACATACTTGAGTGCGTGCTGCGCTTTCTCCTGCTTCACATGTTTGTGAATGGAGCCAACGTGAGGTTGAGGGAGCAGAAACATCAGAGGCTGATTCTTTGAATAGCTTTCCTTTCCCATCTTCTCCAAAATCATCTGAAATTTAAAAAGAATGTTAACAAAGAAACACACAATTAACACCTGAACCTAAAACAGTTAAATCACAAAATAAATATGAGCAGTACTTACAACAATCAGCTTTGCGCTTATTTCCACTCAACCTTTGCAGCAATGTTTTACTAGAGCTGAGAGAGCTAGAAATTTCATTGTTGGAAGACTGAGGTTTTGCTTGCTGCCGTAGTCTTTTTGCTTCATTTGCTCTTGAGGGGTCATCATGAAGTCTTTTTCCACTACAAAATAAGATCTAATGTGAATAGAGGACCAAAGAATACTTTGGCATCTTTGAAATGTGCAAGTTAGTTACTTACTGAGACTGGATGTCACTTTGAGATCCCACAGCTGAGGGCACTGATGGCGCTCGGATGTGACGGTATTGGTACATATCACAATTAGGGTTAGGTAACGCAGAGTCACCTTTCCGCTGACGTTTTTTACCAGGATCGTCTTCCTGAAAACGATACAACATAACTTTATTAAACTTAAAACTAAGTTTTGGGATTCAACGATAAAGGAGAATGAGTTCATTAACTTACCATAACTTCTTGACACTGAGAATATATACGTTTGCGAGATGCTTCTTGGAGACTTTCAAGCACTGACTTGGCAATTTCATTTTTTCGAACTGACATATACGACCTCATTTGCATGTTATTTCTGTTATAATGTTGCCTGTAATATAAACAATCAGAATTATAATTATAAAATATACATGGCTACTTTCATTTCAAATAAGTAAATAAAAACAAAATCATCATACCGTTGATCCGGAGATATAGGTGGAGCAATTTTTACTCGGACAGAACTGCTAGGCAATTTTTGACTATTCCTTAAGGTCAATGAAGAGGGCGGGGATGAATTTAAATGAACAATGGGAAACAAGCCCACTGAACCATACCTGTCTTGCTGAGTAGCAGGATTGTTGTGGCCCCAATTAAGTCCTGAATTATCATTTGCACAACGCACTAGTCTATCCGTAAAACCAGGACTATTCACATTCACAAAGAGACTGCAATGAAGAAAAGGGAGTTTAATATAAAAGAATATATTGAAATATGCATTTAGAAATAAACAATTAACTACATAAAATTTTTGATACTGCTTTGCAAAGCATAGTCATTGAATTGAATGTAAATCTCACAGATTACACTGGATAGCTCACCCCGCGTCAAATGTTGGGTTGTGGCGGACTGAAGACAGAAGAGGACCAGCAGTGGTCTGTATCATCTTGCCACTGTTTGCTCTATTGCGTAGCTTTTGAAAAGAGCTAGGATCTACATGATTTTGAAAAAAATCTTGAGCTTGGTTACGAGATGTTTTAGGAGTGTTGATTCTTCCAAAATTGAGTTGGCGACTGTCAGCAGCAACCATCTCAGGTGAAACTCTGGAAGGCAAGGGCAATACTGAAGGGGCACTTGCACCATGACTGCTAGTAGGAGTGGAGCGTGGTGTTGATGACACAATTTCATCCACAGGACTTCTTCGGTTCTTGGCTGTTTCCAAACCACTAGCGACGTGAGGGATAGGGCTAGGCAGGTCAATGCCAGTCAACAAATTGGGGGAGTGCAGAGGTTGGCGGTCATTTCCACTTAGTGCCGGCCATAATACCGACGTAAAATAAGTATAATGGTTGTATAAAACTGAACTGTGGTTGTACGTTATATGAACGATACCACATAACGCTGCTGCCGTCAAGGTTAGGTATGGATACGCCAGGAACAGCAGCACAACAACAAACAGCACACCCGTTGCGATGAATAGCGAATTGGTCGTTAAGTTCGCCATGGCTGCAACGTGTACAGCATGCAGAAAACTCTAATTAACATGGCGAAACACACACACGCCAAAAATACATCGTTAATTCTTAACACTTTTCAGCAAAGATAGCTGAACTTTCTTGATTTTGTTTTGTTTTTGGTGGAACACAGCCTTTTCGTAAACAAAACTCAGTCGCAGTAGGGGGTCAGTAGTAACGCAGAGAACGCAGCCCGAAAACGGACTTTTCCACCGGATGTCCCCCGTTCCTACCGTTCCCTGCCACAGAATTCCCCCCCCCCTTCTATCCCCTTCACTTCCCTCCCCTTCCCCGTACCCCTCCAGCAGAAGCAGAGGACGCAAGGATACCCCACCACTATTCCAGTATTAAACAGTTACTTTTTTAAGGTCACGGCAATGGCAGGAGTGACGAAACACCTTGCCTCGCAGGGGAAGCGAGTGGCGTTGCAGCTGGAAGCATTCTCTCGGTGTTGGCGCGTGACCTCCGCCCGTCTGCACACAAGTTCAGTCAGAATGGTAGGTTAGGGCCCGGCTTCTCGGAGCTTGTTTTGCCGTCAAATTATTCCCTCTCACCCGCCGCTTATCACAAGCAGGGTCACGTGATGCTGCTCCTTGTGAAATAATCGTTCACAAATGAGGCCTTGATATTGTTTGCTCTACGCCCACGCCCTGCAGCCTGTGGCATACTGATGGGACACACTACTTTGTCTGGGTCCTATAGTTTTGCTGTATCACACAGTCCATCTGGCTTTCCCCGGGAACATCCCGGAAGGAAATATTCCTATATATGTGAAGTGCAGGTTTTGAAAATACCTTCTGTCTGTTCGTTTTCAACCTGTTGCAGTATCAATTGACCTTGCTAAGAAAGTCATGGTACACTGATCTATGCCTCTTACTTAACTTATAGCCATGTCACCTATTTTCTTAAATATTGATTATCTCTTTTCCTAGGAGGACTATAGACTTGAATCCGACACCTTTGGAGAGCTGAAGGTGCCAAGTGACAAGTTGTATGGAGCACAGACTGTCAGGTCCACCATGAACTTTGCCATTGGTGGTCCATCAGAAAGAATGCCGGTATGTCATAAATTGCTGTTAGCCACTGTGCAAGAAATTTACTGGCAGTTTTTCTGTTGTATTCTTTTGAATAATACGATTCTTTATGCTTTAGTTGCCTGTAGTGAAGGGAATGGGGACATTGAAAAAGGCTGCAGCTTTGGTAAACAAGGAGTATGGATTGGACCCTAAAGTTGCTGATGCGATCAGTAAGGCAGCGGATGAAGTTATTAGTGGTGAGCTGTATGAAGCACATTTCCCCCTTGTTATCTGGCAAACTGGTTCAGGCACTCAGTCAAATATGAATACAAATGAGGTCTGTCTGCAGCTCATTATTCTTGTTCTTTATCAACTTATTTTTCTTGATTAATTTGCTCCTCAAACTCATTGACATTTTTAGGTAATCAGCAATAGAGCCATTCAACTACTTGGTGGTAAACTGGGATCTAAGACCCCTGTTCACCCTAACGACCACGTGAACAAAAGTCAAAGCTCCAATGATACCTTCCCCACTGCAATGCACATTGCTGTGGCTGTTGAAATCAACAAGCAGCTTTTGCCTGCAATTGAGGGATTACATGATGCTTTGAGAAAGAAGAGCAAAGAATTTGAAAAGATTATCAAGATTGGACGCACTCACACTCAGGTTTGTTTATAAATTTTATCTCACTTTTTGTTGCTATGATTCATGCCATGCTATGGTCAATATGAGAATAAAATTGTCTGTCTTAGGATGCTGTACCGCTTACCCTTGGTCAAGAGTTTGGAGGCTATGCTCAGCAACTGGAGTTTGGTATTGCTCGTATCAAGGATACACTTCCTCGTCTGTACATGCTCGCTATTGGTGGCACTGCTGTGGGCACAGGACTCAACACTCGAGTTGGGTTTGCTGAGAAGTGTGCTGCCAAGATCAGTGAACTAACTGGTAAATTTATTGTTGTTACTATAAATCTCTTCTTAAAATACTGTGAAATTCATTACCATGAAAATTTTTTCATTGTAGGCTTACCATTTGTATCTGCTCCCAACAAATTTGAGGCTCTGGCTGCTCACGATGCTTTGGTTGAAGTGTCTGGTGCTTTGAATACTGTTGCTGTGAGCATAATGAAAATTGCCAATGATATCCGTTTTCTAGCATCTGGACCACGCTGTGGTCTTGGTGAATTAAGCTTGCCTGAAAATGAGCCTGGTAGCAGTATTATGCCTGGTAAGAAAATTGAATAGTAACACAATTTCACAGCCCTTTTCCTAGACTTACTTTTTTGTTTTTCATTGCAGGAAAGGTCAATCCTACTCAGTGTGAGGCTATTACTATGGTTGCTGCTCAAGTAATGGGCAACCATGTTGCCACTACCATTGGTGGCAGCAATGGTCATTTTGAACTTAATGTTTTCAAGCCAATGATTGTTGCTAATGTACTTCGTTCAGTCCAACTGTTGGCTGACAGCAGTCGAATGTTCACTACCAACTGTGTCCAGGGTATTGTGGCCAATGAAGACCGCATTGCTAAGATTCTGCACGAATCTCTGATGTTGGTTACAGCTCTAAACCCTCACATTGGCTATGATAAGGTGAGATGGATTTTACCCTGAATGAGTAGTTTTAGTAAACTTTGAGTTCTTGCTTAACCTCTACATTCTGCGTAATTATTTTGTAGGCTGCCAAGATTGCCAAGACTGCCCACAAAGAGGGAACCACATTGAAGGAGTCTGCCCTTAAATTGGGTTACCTGACTGAGCAACAGTTTAATGATTGGGTTAAACCTGAGGACATGTTGGGGCCCAAGTAAACAAGGCTGTGTTCTGTATAAATCATGTTTGCATTTTTAGCCAATATTCCATTTTAATTATGTGGTATGTTGTTAAAAAAAATCAAACACTTTGGTCCACTTTTAAAAAACTGCTGGCAGTAAAAACACTCAAATGTAATTGTACATATATCTCATGTATAGATTGTAGATTATTTGCCACTTTTAAATGATCTGTGTTGTAATTGCTTTTTACCTGAATGTTATAATCAAAAATGTACAGAGTTTCAAACCATCTTTTCATTAACTGTTTATCTGCATACCTTGCATTATTTAGACCAACAATTTGTGTTATTTGTATTTCAACTGCTCCCAATAACGAGTAAATAGTAATAATTATCCCTGGTCCTGTTATTCAATCAAGCTTCTTAGTACCAAAGTGGGCGGCCTACAGCAACCAAAAGAAGCGATAGTGTAGGAAACTCAACACAGAAGCGCCTGCACAGGTCAGTATAGGCCACGTCCTACACACAGCTTCGTGCAAACGTCATTGGTTGCCTAACTAGACGGCGTCCGGTGTACCCCTAGTATTTCATGAGGTGTCGCGGCGTATCTGCAGATGCGCGCCTACACGCGCACCTTTGCAGCTAATATAAGTATAGCACAGAGCGGGCCCTTGAGTGAGTAACTGCAGGCACAAGGCAGGCGGCGCGGCAGGGGGGTGGAGGTTATTTCAGAAGGTATGAGAAATTAGAGACTTTACACATTATACAACC